TGGGCGTGGTGTATTTCATAAGTTACCATCTCGTGTTTAAAAATACCAGAGCTGAATGGAGTTCATCGGTGCGGGGCACGCCGTGGCGAAGTACTATTTGCTCTCGTAGGAACTTCACAATGTGATTCGCTGACGTTGTAGGCACGGCCTGTAGCTCAATCCACTTTGTGACGTGGTCAACAGGAACAATAATAGAATGGTTGCCCTTTCGTGATTTCGGAAATCGCCCTAAATGATCAAGTCTAAAAATTTTGAAAGCAGCCTGCGGTGGTTAAGTCGGAGGAATTTTGGTAAAAGGTGGAATACTGGGCAACTTCCTGCTTTGACATAATTCACAGCAAGCGACATACCTGGAAACATCTTTCAGGAATCCGCGCTACGAAGAGCGTTCGGAAAGTTTGGCCAGAGTCTTATCTCGACCCAGGTGACCCGTTGTGAGGTTATCATGACGGAGATTCAACACGGTAGCCCTCAGACAAACTGGAATCACCGGTAGCCATTGTTGTTGACCGGTACTGCTGCGACAGAGTAGGCCCTTCTCCACTCAGTATGTTTGCCGCAGTCGCTGTAAAATGTCTGTAGAACCGGATAATGCGAGGCGCTGTACGATATCTTGTACTTCGCTACCTTGACATTGACTGCGACGCAGGTTGAAAGTCGCGCCACAAAAACAAGTGTCACACTCCGGAGCCTTATGAATCTTCTCTAGTGGATTGCGGGATAGACAGTCAGCGTCTTGATGACTACGTCCGCTATGATGTATGACATAAAAATCATACTCTTGCAGTAGAATCACCCAGCGTGCCAGTTTTGCCGTCAAGTCTCCTTTGATCTGAAGCCAGGTCAATGCTGAAGTATTTGTCCCAACAGTAAAAATTGCGACAATAAATGCGAGGGCGAAACTTCTGCAACGACCACACACGGGCCAAGCATTCTAATTTATATGAATGATTCCTCTCTTTTTGTTGTGCAAGCCGGCGACTTGCGTACGAAATTACTCTTTGAGTACCGTTTGGAAATTCTTGAAGTAGTACAGCTCCAAGTTCTTGCCCGCTAGCGTCCGTGTGGAGAATTGTCTTTGTCAAGGACGGGTCGAAGTGAGCAAGCACTGGGGCATTTAGAAGGGCCATCTTGAGGTCTTGAAACGAGGGCTGCTCTATGTTGCCCTATCGCCATGGTACGTTCTTCCGGAGTAAGTAACTCGAGGGGGCAGCGCGGGAAGCAAAGCTAACAATAAAATGGCGGAAATATGAAGCAAATCCCAATAAACGTCTGACGTCTTTGATAGTTGTCGCCGTCGGATATTCCAACAAAGCCTCAAGCTTCGAGGGATCATGCTTGACGCCGTTTTTGTTTACCAGATGTCCCAAATATGTGTTCTTTCTGAAACCGAAAAAAAAAAAAAAAAAACTTTTGGGGATTCAGACGAAGGTTGGCATCGATTATGGCGTCAAGTACGATTGTGAGCCTTCGAAAATGTTCTTCAAAAGTGCTTGCGTAGCTAACAACGTCGTACAAATACACTAGCGCTTCAGATTTCCCAAAACTCGGTCCTTGAGTCTTTGAAATGTCCCTGGGGCATTGCAAAAGCCAAAGAGAAGACGGTTGAATTCGTACAGACCATCTGGAGTGATGAAGGCTGACTTTTCAGCTTCCATTTTATCGAGTGGCACCTGCAAGGATCCCGACATCAAATCCAATGTTGTGGAGTATTACCCTCCTTGTAGTCGCTGAAGGGTGTCAGCAAGACGTGGAAGAGGGTACACATCGAGCTTGGTTGTACTATTAAGCTTCCTGTAATCTGCACAAAATTACACAGTGCCATCTTTCTTTCTGACTAACACCACTGGTGATGACAAACGGGCTCGTTGATGGCCTCAGTCACTTGCTGTGTGATGGTTTCACGCTCTGTTGGGGCTAGGCCGCGTAGTGGCTGATGCATTGGGCGGCTGTCACCGGTGTCAATGGTATGTGTGTAATACGGTGTGCAACCAAGTTCGTCGGAATCAGGGCGATGCAATGTCGATGTACTAACAATGCCCTCTTTATTTTCGTTTACTGCTAGCAACTCAATTCTGGTCCAAGCTTAAATTGTTCCCACCGTAAAGAATTATCCGGACTGTAAAATAGCACTCGTTTTCTGACGCTAGAGAAATACTTTCAACTATTGAGATCTTGTCCTTCGCCAAAGGTTGGAGTACACCAATCTGTTTCCTTGGATTGAGAGTGATGTCGTTGGCACCTAGATTAACGACAAGAGCGACCAATTCTCCATTGGTACAAGCTGCGAGTGTCCGGGCTGCAGCTAGTTCCTTCCCTGGTTTAGTACAGAGCCATGAGTCGAAAACAGCTTCACCTAACCTTTTTGTTGTTTACTCTCAGGCATATCATTGAAGCAGTCTCGGCAGGTATTGTAGCAGAGTCTTTAACGCATACGTTTAAGTCATCCGATAGCTGTACCTGAGCACATATGATATCGGTATAGTGGGAGAAAAACTTTAGAAATAGGTGCCACTCTTCCACGGCGACGAGGAAAAATGAGCGAACGGGGTACGCAAGCGACACAAAAATTCTTTCGCATTGTGGAATGCTGCCGTCTGATGTTACCACGGGTGGATGCGGAGTTTTGGTGGCCTTGTTCTGTTCAAGGTTCAACTTAAAAAATTCGTTTTTCTGGCACCACTCATTGCCCAGAATGATTAGAGAGACGGAATTCCAGAAGTTTACTAATGACCTCTCACTGAACGCAGTGACCAATAAGTTCAATTGTACACCGGTGTGAACTTTGACGCCGCTGGCTGTGAAAAGTTGTGGAGCAATCCGGGAAACATTACAATCAGCCGGTACAAGCGTTGCGTCGATTATGCTAACCGCTGCTCCAGTATCAAGGAGGCTTTCTAGGATCCTAACTCATTGAATCTCTACTTGTGTAGTTGGAAGACCAGTAAAATTCCTTGAAAGAGAGAGGAGACAATCTTTGTCTACTACACCCGATCCCGCCCCTGAGAACCGGGATATCTGTTTCCCGACGCGCTATAACAGTCTTCCGCCAAGTGTCCTTTCCGTATGCATTGAAAGCAGCGACTCTTAGTGCTAACTCGTTGGTGACCTTCAGGCTGCTGCGTGCTCCAGCCGTCTCCAGATGAGTAGTTGACTGTAACTGTGCCGGGCAAGAAGTCTGGGCGTTTGCTGTTGCTTTTTGGATGGCTGAGATCTCTAACGTCTTAGCCAAAAACTCTCGAACAGTCTTTGGCCCTCCAAGTCGAACAAATTTTCTAACTTCAGTGTCCGCAACGGCGTCGACAAAGGTGCTGAGAAGATGAAAAGTGTCGGCAGCAACTCCCACAAATGATTTTCACGCTAGGCACTCAATTTTCGTTGCCATGACTTGAAGTATTTCTCCGGCTGTTGTCGACGGCAACGTAACTGACCATAGCGAATGTGTGGCAGATGTTTGTCGCCATAGCGGTCTTCAAAGGCCGCTACCAACGTTTGGTAGGTCAGAGCTCTTCCTTGAATTTGGGCCAATATCGCGGTGGCTGGTCCCTGTAGTTGTGCCGCAAGAGCGTGAGTTGTTTCATATTCAGACCATTGGTTTACTTTAGCAACAGTGCTAGCATGCTCGAGGTAAAGGTCAAGTGGCCCGCTACTATTGAAAGGCTTCCGTTTGAAACGAAGTGGATTCGAGGTGGCCGAAAGTGTGCGCACCGTTTCTAAGCCCCGTCCGATTCCCCAAGTGTCTCCTTTCCTCTAGCGTTTCGATTCTTTGTCGAAGGTGTTCTTGCGCAGACGTAACGGGTTGCAGCTGCGCCTGGACCATAGACGCCATCGTTGATTCGAAGCCCTGTCCCTGCTCCGCGAGCAGAGCCCTCAATTGGGCGCAGGTAACTGGACGTTCAGAGTTTCTCGTGTCCTCGGGAGTAGGGGAAGTTTCGCCGGACCGCGCTTGTTGTCGTGTGAAGGGCATTTGTTTCTCGCAAATTCCACTTCTGACAGTAAAATGTTAGAGATCGCTTTTTTCGTTGCTGCCACTTGGTCTTTCTCCCGTCTACGACCCTCTTGCTCTTCTTTTTGTCCTGCTCAATGCACCTCGATGTTCTACTGTCTCAATATGAAGAAAGTTTGACCACTATCAAAGTAAAAGTGAAAATATGAAAAAAGTCAGTTTTACTTTCGTTCATCCTGTCTTTTCAATAATTATTATTAATTATTTCTTAAACCTGCCGAGGTTGGATTTCAAATAGATTAAACAGTTACAACCTTCTGAAGTGACGTTTGACCGTTAAGGTCCGTTCACAGGCTTGCGACCTCATACGACAGAGTGCCCTGGACCCTAATAATATCTCTTACGAAGAGAGGACACACTGGCGCCATATATTGGGTAGCAGTGTAAACTTGTCGGTCCGGCCTAATTTCTATTTATATCGCGCATTTTCTTTTTCTTTTTTGGCTCGAAAACTCTTTTATGAACGCTATAAACGAGACTTTCTTATAGGTATTACACACATTTGACTTCGGAAATCTCGCTAAACCTTCACCCTTGTTAAATGTAGTTCGAGGGTCACCGCATAGATAGCGCCTGCTTGCCAGGGTGTTTTCTTGTCCTGAGAAATTTTAAGAGGTTTCAACAGGTCTCGTCTCTCTCGGTCGTACTCGGTTGCAAGTGTGTGAACGGGCTTTTAGCTACATAGCTAAAACTGAGATGGTGACAGCTGGCAGAAGAAGCTTCACAATTTCTTGCTAATATTGTTTTTCCATTATTACACTAAATAATTAACATTTTAAAGTGGACTTTCATATTAAACGGACAGAGATATCTATTAGCTGAATACTAAATCAAAATTGAATTTAAATAATTTCTCAGAAATGTATGTTGTTGTTGTTGTTCTTTTTTGCAGCAGTTGGGCACCGCTCATTCAGGAGCAAAATTATTTGGATGTTTGACAGAGGTTCAAAACTTTTAGAAATCATTGGAGCCTCAACGTTTAATATCTTTAACTATGACGAATTTGGTTCTCGCAGAAGTGCCTGTGAAGGAGTATGTTTATCCGAGAATTCTCGAAGCGAGGAGTGCAAATGGCGAGAAGATGCTCCACATACGTGATGGGCTTACTCTGAGCTTAGAAAAGAGCAAAGTGCTTTCCGAAAACTTCGTTCTTTCTAATGGTGATGATGTGAACTACTCCAACAGTTCTGTAAGTACATATATTTGAAGTAGGTTTATAGGTTAAATAAACTTGTGTTAGTGCGTTTCTCTTAAGTTGGTGAAAGTGTCAGTCGCTCAAGTATCCTCGTACAACTTCCCCCCTCCCCCTAGGCTTCTCTCCATTTTGCATTTGAACGTTATGAATGGCATTCGCTATAAATATTTATGATTCTTCGAGAAAATTTGTGGCTCCCGCCCACCTATTTTACAGTGTTTTGAAAATGGTGTTTTACACATAAAAAACATTTGTGTTTACGCAAATTGTACTTTCTACCGAAGTTAATTTCTCGGGGGGATATGGTTATGTACAATTTTTGAGCACTTAACTCATAAGCAATTAATGCAGTGTTACTCGACTTTAAACACATATGAGTTATTCGATATTTCGAAGAAGAGATTTTCTGCAAATGCTAAGGAGGCGTGCAATTTTCCTGTAGGCTCAAAACCATACAGGGAGAAGGAGATTATTGGAATCATCTAGTTAACCTTCTGCGGGGTTCTGCGAGATTATTGTCAATCCCATATAAAACTGCCCCTTCAGCTTGTAAAAACAAATCTATATTTTATGGTATAAACTTAAGAGCAGAGCTGTGATCATCCCAGCTGCATGTACCGATAACATTCGCCGCGTCCCTGAAATACAATCACCGTGTTTCTAAACGGATAGTGACGATTCATAAGTTCTGGATTAGTTCATTTTCAGAGGTTTTCAAGGCGACTGGAGTGACGTCTCCTAAAAGGTTCTAGCTGTGCGCTTTCTTTAAAGTTAATCAAGCTTTTTTGTGAGCGTTCATGTGATACTTTAAACTCAAAATGGACTTTTTAATTATATGTAACGATCAAATAATTACAAACGATAATTTTTTGTAGAAAACGAATTTAACATATAAACTTCTGTACACTTATAACGGAATCGTAAGCACGGATCTGAATTCGGTATTGCCATGAAGGTTGAAATTCATTTGCCCCCTACTTTTATGCAATTTTGGGGTATTATACATATACAAAGGGTACAGTCATGGCTTTATGGGCGATAATTTCCTATTGAAATAGCTCATGAGGATGCTATGAGTTCTTGAAAGATTGATTATGATGAAGTCTGCAGCGGTGCAATAAATATTCCCGCGTTGTTTGCAGCTGGATGTCAAGGAAATTGAAGAGAGTTTGTACCAGGACAGGAAACACGGCTCCTCTATTGTGGTCCAAGAATCGAATGGATATGTCCAAGTGGTATGATATTCTCGTGTCATTGCTCATGTAATTTGCGAATAAGATATTTCCCTCTATGCCATAAACTTTTTAATATCCTATTTTGAATTATACTTTGCAGACAGGTATCCTCACTGACACCTTATCAATCGAGCCAGTATTATCTAATACCCGATCAAAAGATGGAATCGTTGCTCACTTGATATCAATGTTTAATGATTCGTCCATTCCAATGTATGCTGATTATGGTAAGACCCACTTCACACTCTATTCATAAATGTTAGCTACAAGAATTAGGCGCTATATTTTCTACCAGGTTAATAAAACCTTGATTGGTATTTGATTGATTACATTATTATCCAGATATATATATATTGTATTTTTGTGTGAACTTTTCGGTGCAGCGCAGTTATTTCTTTGTTCTCAAATCCTATTTTCCGAAAACTCAGAACTCAGGTGCATTACTGCTCTAATTTTATTCCCTTAAAGTTTTGTAGTACGTGAACCTGACTTTGGTATTACAATCGCATATAAAATACGTAAGTGTACTGATGTGTATTAGAAATCATATAAATGAAAAAATGTTTCATATTGTTTGTAGTGAAATGTTCCTATCAAACAGAAGCAAGCTACTTTGTTTTTACTCCGTCCTGAACAAAAATGATAGCTAAAAATGATTCGTCAGATATATGCAATACTTTTATTTTTATTTTACAGTTGGTAATAGGAACTTAGCGGAACGAAAATTTGGTGGCAATATCCACAGAGGTGAGTGGTATTGAAAAGTTTTTAATTGAGGATTGACGTGACAAAAGGCATGCATTTATTCAAAACCTTAAACAAGATTAGAATTTTCTACTATATATACCAAGCAAAATATTATGACGAAGACTGATTAAAACATTTCCTTTCAACGCTACAGTATAGATTATGACGATATTCTTAATTTGTCGCATTGACAATAGGAAGGGTCAATAACAACACCTCGAGTTCTAATACTCATCCTATGTAGGACAAGTTGTTAACAAAACGAAACTTATGCTTCGCAGGGAACGCTATCAGACCATTTGCTTTATGTTCAAATGCAGCATTTAAAATTGTTGTGTTGGAGTATTGTTTCAGTTATAAATAGCGCGAAGCGGCGGGCAAAGAAGTGAGTGCGCGACTGCGATGTGCCAGACGGAACGAGAGCACGACATATAAACACGTTTGGCTCTGGAAGCTTCATCGGCTGCGACTCGTCCTCTCTTCTTGCCGTAAGCCAAACATAATTGGCACCGAGCTATGGAACGTCCCTGACGGCTGAAACGGGCATCGTAGAAGGAATTCACGGGGCCAGGGCAAGGAAAAACGAATATGGCAAGGTTGGAAAGGTTCGATCCATTTGTGGAAGATGGCGACGAAGATTTTGAATTTTGCGTCGAAAGATTCGAACACTACCTAAAGGCTACGAAGGTGAGCGAAGTCCTAAGGCTCTCTGCTTTTGTCATTGCAATTGGCCAGAAACCGTACAAGATGATTAAGACTTTACTCCATCCGGTCAAACCAGAGGAGGAAAGCAGGGAGGAGTTGGTGGCGGTTCTGAAAGGCCATTACGCTCCGAGGACGATGGTGATAGACGAGCGGTTTAAGTTTAACCATCGCTACCAAAAGGAAGAGGAGACGGTAGCCACTTTTTCAGTGGACCTGAAGAAGCTCGCGTGAACTTGCGAGTTCGGCAGTTTCTTGGATGATGTTTTGCGCGACAGGTTCGTCGCGGTATTAAAAGACAAGAAAACACAGTCCGACTTCTTGAAGAAGACGACGTTTACGTTTGGCGCCGCGTGTGACATTGCTAAAAGCATCGAGCTCGCGCGCAACGAAACCATTACGTTCCTGCCTACTGCAAGTTGTCAAGGGTCGTCTAGCCGACGAGGACACGACGACGTGAACGCGGTTCGGCAACAAAAAAGGGAAACGTGTCGAAAGTCAACTAAGGGTCCACGAGCTTCGACGACTAAACGGACGTCCGGTCATACGGGGGGACACCACGTCTTCATGTTCCTGCTGCGGACAGGTACACACTGGACAGCTCTGCAAGTACCGCAACTACAAGTGTCATTTTTGTAAAAAGGTCGGACACCTGGCAAAAGTTTGTCGGTTCAAAACAGACTCCGTTACACATGTCGCGAGTTATGGAGCTGATGATGTGCAGCTTTACACAGTGTAGGCGTGTGAAACGGGAAGACGTAACTATGAAGTAGATGTTAAAGTAGCCGACAAGTTCGTAAGAATCCAGATAGACACTGGAGCGTCCGTGTCGGTAGTGCCAGAAGCGTTGTGTGCGACGTACTGGGCAAACATTCCCAAGGAGCCATGCAACTTTAAATAGAGAACGTATGAGGGGAATTCTCTCACGGTGACTCGGAAGTTGTCAGTACCATTCGAGCACAATGAACAGGGGAAGACATTTCCTCTTATTGTAGTTAAGGCACCAGGGGGGCAACGTAACCCCGCTGCTTGATCGAGACTGGCTAGAAGAGCTGAGACTAGACTGGTCATGCATAAACAGAGTAAGAGAAGAAAAGGAAGGAAGGCTCCTTGAGAAGTACGCGGAACATTTTGGAGAAGATCTGGCCTTGATAAAGGGACAACAGGTAAAACTGGTTGTGAAGGAACAAAACACGCACGTCTACTGCAAACCGCGACTTGTGCGCTACGCGCTAAGTGAAGCTGTGGAACAAGAAATCCAATCATTAGTAACAAAAGGGATATTGGTACCAGTATTGGAAAGTGATTGGGCGACGCCTTTGGTAGTGGTACCTAAACCAAACAAACAGGTCCGGTTGTGTGGAGATCACAAAGTGACCTTAACCCCAGCCTGTTGGACATATCACTAACCTCTCCCGGTCATGGAAGATTTGTTCGTTTTACTGAGTTTTTGTAAGTACTTTACCGTACTTGATCTGTCTACAGCCTACCAGCAGCTGGAATTGAATCCCGAGTCACAAGATTTGGTTACTGTGAACACACACCTTGGCTAGTTTAAGTTCAGGAGATTGCCTTACGGCATCACTAGTGCTCTAACAATTTTTCAGTCCGCCGTGGACGAAGTGCTGGAAGGGCTGAAAAATGTCGCGAGCTATCTAGACAATGTACTAATAGAGGGTAAAAGTTATGAGAAGTGCAATAAGAAGTTTGAAAGCGTACTGGCACGGTTCAGCCAACGAGGCATCTGGCTAAAGAAATAAAAATGCACACTTTTTTTCAGACGTATTTCCATTACTTGGGACATATGATAGACCAACATGGAGTTCGACCATCGGAATATAAAGTCAAGGCCATACGGGAGGCCCCTTGTCCCAAGAATGAATCAGAACTGCGCAGGCATTGTTGGGCATGATTAACTTTTATGGCAAGTTTGTGCTGAACATGTCAACCGAGCTGAAACCGTTGTTTGACTTATTACAGAAAGGCACGAAATGGCGTTGGTCAAGGGCAAAAGACAACTCATTCATTAGAAGTAAGACGTAGCATACGCATGAAAACTAGGACCCAAAAAAGAAATTGGGGCTTTTATGTGACGCTCCAGCGTACGGAGTGGGAGCGCTTCCTTTTCACAGAGTAGGAATAATGACAACCCGATTGCTTATGCATCACAGACTCTGAGCAAGGCTGAATAGGGTTACGCCCAAACTGAAAAAGAGGCCCTAGCAGTTCTTTTTGGGCTGAAAACGTTTCATAAGTACCTGTACGGCAGAAATTTCAGCATCTATTCGGGTCGCCAAACGTTGGCAGTGCTGTTAAGTCATGGAAAACAAAGTCCGGCTATGTGAGCAGCCTGGATGCAGAGGTGGGTTTCCTTACTTGCTGCCTACAGTTACAAGTGGGTTTATCGGAAGGGTAGTGCGATGCTGTATGCTGATGCGCTGTCACGTCTGCCTTTGCCCAACGTGAACGATTTGTAAGACTACGTCAGTTTTGTTTCGGCGGTGGATGAAGTGCCATTGCCTGCTGGTGAAATTAGGAGAGAAACTGAAAAGTATAGTGTGATGAAAAGTGTGTTGTTTTTCACTCAGAGCGGATCGTCTTCACATGTGGACAATGAGGCATTGCAACCGTACTTCGTGCGCCATCACGAATTGTCGGTTGACCAAGGGTGCGAAACATAGGAAAATCGAGTAATCATTTCCGAAGTGTTTAGGAAAAAAGTGTTGTTCCTTTTGCACGAGGGACATCCAGGCGCCACCAGAATGGACATGCTATCGCGTAGTCACGTGTGGTGGTCTTTGATAACATATGATGTTGAAAACATTGTCACAACTGTAGTACATGTCAACTAACGCCGAACGCGCCACCACATGTTCCATTGTTAACGTGGGTTCGGCAAACGCGCAAATGGCAAAGGGTACATTTTAATTTTGCATACCGGGATCATAACTGGTTTTTGATTCTCGTAGATGCTCATTCAAAGTGGCTATAGGTGTTTCTAATGAGTTGCACTGCGATAAAATGTACTATAAAAAAATTGCGAAGTGTCTTCGCCGCGTTTGAACTACCAGAAGAGGTAGTGACAGGTAATGAACCCCAGTTTGTGACGACAAAGTTCCTAGAGTTAGAAGGCCTCCGTACCATCCTTCCTCTAATGGCAGCGCGGAACGGTGTCTGCAAACCGTCAAGCGGGATCTCGTGAGGCAGGTAATCGACGAGCAACGGACGGGTGTACCGAAACCGATGCAACATCGAGTCGACCAGTTTCTTTTTGCATACAGAAATACCCCAAGTGGTAGAACCGACAAAACTCCAGCCGAGCTGTTTCCCTCTTGGAAGCCTAGGACCCGAATGAGCTTGCTTCAGCCTGAGATGGAGAGACGCATGAGTGATCGCCAACAACAAATCGAGACAGCCGCCGACATGAGGAGAGGCTCTTGTCAAACTTCTGAAGCAGGCGACCAAATCCTCGTCCGGGGATCACGTCAAACAGATCCTGCATGATTGGTGGGACGGGTTATGAAGAAAGTAAGTGCATCAACCTACATCGTGATGCTGCAAGATCAGCATCGTTAAGTGAACGTGGATGGCGTCCGTCCGAGACATTTCGAAGATTCGTCTGCACAGAGAAGAAATGTCGAAACTCCGGCTGCAACACCACGAAGGGCGCCCGGTGGTTCCCGAGACAACATGACAGGGCCTGCTACCCTCAATATGGAGCCTGTTTCCAAACAGCGACATAGACCACACCAGTGCGTCGAAGCAGTATATGATAACGTAGGTCACCGGAGAGGTATTCTTGTGTGAGTCAGCCGAAACTTTGATGGGGAAGGAGTGCTGTGTTTGAGTATTGCTTCAATTATAAATAGCGCGAGGCAGCGGGCAAAGAACTGAGCGCGCGCCTGCGATGTGCGAGACGGAGCAAGAGCATGAGATATAAAAACGTGTGGCTCTGGAAGCTACATCGGCTGCACCTCGTCCTGTCTTCTTGCCGTAAGCCACAACAAAAATCGCCTTGCGTTTGTGCGGCGCAGAATGGGTGTCATCGCTCTAAATATTTAGAAGCGAACTTTGAAGCTCTTTGGTGTTGCGAAATATATTCACTTCTCCACTGAAGTTTTCAAAAATAACAAGAAAAGAGCATCTAAGATGCATTTTTTTTGTTTTGTTTCTTGCAAGCTGGTGGGTTCTAGTTCCTACTGAGTAAAGTACACAAAGCTTTTTAGTAGTTTTTTTTTATTTGTTTTTATTTTTAATTATTTTTCAACTGGCTCGTTGCCTTTTTAATTAAATCCGGAATAACAAAAATATGCAGAAGACTGGGCAAAGATTGCGCCATTGTCTGTTTTTTTAAGGCCTTCAGAAGCCGAACAAACCAAAGTCGCGCTAAGCGTTACCATCTTTGGAAACAGTCGGCCTCCTGGCCCTAATTCACCAGATAATGCCATAGTTAGGATTCACTCCATGGTAGTTTGGATGTCATCTGGCATCTTTGGCCCAATATCACCAATTTGATGCCAGTTATGCTTACTGTCAGGTAATTTGACTCTCATTTGGCAACTGTGGACCCAAATATCTAAATAACTTCCAACGTGAGGTTTCACTTCCTCATGGTTTTGCAGTCATATGGCCGCTCGGGGACAAAGTAACCAAACAAGTGTCAGAGTTATTCGTCCTGCCTGGTAGTTCGGATATTGTCTCGGACCATTAAGGCCCAGATACCTAAACAAGTGTCAAAGTTAGTCTTAATTTCTTCAAAGTTCGTCTGGGCATCTTTGGTCAAAATCGCCACTCAAGCGCCAGAGTTAGGTTTACTGCCCCAAAAGTTCGTTGCAATCTGGCATCTTTCAGACCAAATCCGCCGAGAAAGTAAGAGTTAGGCATCCTCTTTGCAAGTTTGATGCGAATATGCCGTTTTCGTCCCAAATATCCAGGCAGGTGTAAGAGTTAAGTTTTATTTTCCGGGTGTTCATTTCGCATCCGACAACTTTTCGCCTTATGCAAATCTCTGATGCCACTTAGACAAACGACTGGGTCTAATATCTCCGCGATTGAAATGATTTGGTTAGAAAGCAACGCGCTCGCAAAACCTCTCCCTTTCTTTGGACATTCAAAACACCAGCTACATTTTGCAGGCTCATTCAACCACTGTGGTCTAGATAGGGCTCCTACAAATTTTACATTAGTACACATTGTGGATTATCTTTGGTCCTAAAGTTGTTACAAAAAAAAAACATGTTCCTTCTCTGGTTGGCCGGAAGCAAGAAAGAGGGATACTAAATTCAGTTACTCACAATCCGAAACTTCTACAGTACCAAATTCATGCAGCCAGGGCGGGTCTCTATGGCGCCGATTCATTTACGTATGGGAATGATGGACCGATAGGGAATTGGTAGGGTGCGGGTGGCCTGTCACATATTCAGAGAGAAATATAGTTTAATTTTGCCCCAAATATTTTTATTTTAGTTCGGGTGTTCCGTGATGTTTCTCCCTATGTTGGGCGGAATATTTCGCCGAAGTTGCACAAGACAACGCTGATTTTGAAGCCACAATAATTTCTGGGTATTTTCCCTGCGCTTAGCTACACGCGTCATCGTCCAGTGTTGCTCATTGCCCAAAGGACGCCCCTGAGACGGGTTTGACGTTACCGTCACTGCTGCCATTCAGCGAGTGCTGCGCGAGACTAACGTAAAGTTGTCTCCTCAACACATACAAATATCATGAGACGTGTTGGAAAAGCCAGCCTAGCTCTGTGTGTGTCTTGCGTTGTGACTTATCACTGTTGAAAACTGGTGATAAAAAAAATAAGCGATTGTAACTTTACAGCTTACGCCTGCTTCACACTCCGCGAACCCGAAATATAATCTGAACTGTAGCATTTTTTTATTTGGCGATATTAAGGAGAGTGATGAAATCAGACAGTCGTGCGGCGAACCCTTTCTTCGTTTTTGTCCTAGGGTAGGTTAGGTGGCACTCTTGTGGCTAACTAAAAAAAAGCCAAACCCCAGCCTGTCTTTGGGGTTTCCTTGGCATTTTTCGAAGTAATTTGGCTCTCCAGTGGCTGACAAAAGGAAAGTCAATCTTTGGTATTCTCCTGAATCCTTAAATTAAGGTTTACTTTGGTAGTTATGGCTCAACTATGCCACTGATATTGACACATTTGTGGTGGGCCCGAGAGATGTCAAACTTTGGCATGAACCAGGATCGCCGAAGTGGGGCTATAGTTCGGCAGATTACTTTGCCACTGACAAGCGCCATGGAGTGAAACCTTACAAGGCATAAGTTCGGCCCGTACGCTGCCCACCCTTCTGCCAAGTGAGGCGTTTTTTGCGTCGTACCTTGGTAGAATTTTTAGTTCGATTATAATGCATTGCGCACCCAGCGGTTATGCTTAAGATGCGCAGGAGCGTGTATTTTTATTCAAAGTAAAACTAAAATTATTAAAATCAAGCTCTTTATCACAACGTTCCACTTTAAATTTTTATTTTAGTGGAAAGACAACATCTCGGAAACTTGCCCCAAACAGTTACGGTTGAAACTAGAATAGTCTACGACGCTGCTCTTCGCCAACAGAAAGGAAGTCGTCTCACTCAATATTTGATAATTGTAATGAATAAGGTAAGCATTTATGTTATGAAACTTTGGTCGTTATGGATATTATTGAAACAAAGTTGCGGGCGTAATCGTTTGAAACATGTTGTCACTTGCGTCATCGGCGCACTTATCAATGTCAGTATGTCAAGATATGGATGACATCTCTGAATCGACTACGTCACCCTTTTATGTTTAATTGTGGTGAGGGCTTGCTGCGCCCCTTTTGTGCAATCTCAAAGTCTCTTGGGGATCAATGCCATGGCGCAGGCACTTATTATAGTTTCAACTCAACATTCACGAACATCGCAATGCTTTCAGGATTGTTTTAAATGAGTCATAAAATATAAGCTATATATAAATATAAGCATAATTCAGTTAAGACGCATTGTTGTATAAAACGGAATTGAGGGAAAAACTCCGCGTCTAAGAACGCTCCAAAATGCGGAACTGCATTTAAAGCTTCAACGTTTGTTGGCATCCTTTGGCTGATTGCGGTAAATTGAGGTACGCGTTTTTTGTTGTTGAAAACGTAGACGTTCCTATAAAAATGTTTAAAAAAAAACTAACCCTGAAGAATATCTAGTTTTCGAAGATCATTTTGTCACAAATCAACCTTGTGATGGGTTTATCTTTACAAGGAACGACCGTTCTAAGCTCACTTATTTTATGCTCACACTAAACATATTAGAGTGGTTGTCTCAAAATTAAGAGTGTGTCATTGCGCTGACTTGCCTTTGTGTCTCCACGCACCTACATTATTTAGGTTAGTGTTATGGATGGCTGCGACGACAACAACTCGGCAGTCCGGGGTTGTTCGGAAAGCGCTTAATATCCTGGAGACAGACCGAAAGGACCGCTTCCTTCTCGGTGCAGCCGATTGGATTTGCTCCAGACGAGCGCTTGCGCCCCCCCTGACGGGGCAGAATTCAGCCACAGCGTATCGAATATTTCGACAGCACGCCACCGAAAGAGCAACAAAACATGAGCCATTTTTTTTTGTGCCCAGATATCACTGTGCGTAATGTATATTCAAGTAGATTAATACTATACAAGCACTCTGCATTTATAATTCTTATAAATGTGCAATTATTATTGGTTAAGAGTGAGTTATCTTTTAAATTTTGATTTGTTTGTATCAAATATATTCTTACTCTAAACATTACTTTATGGTTTACAGTTAAGCTAAATACTGAATTATGACTGGCTCAAATTTCACCATTAAATCATTGTCTCACTATATTAGAAAGAAAAGATCCACGGAGAGCGCTTGCTCAGGCCAGATTTAATAATAAAAAGATTTTGATTGTACGGTTTATCTACCTATATTATGCAGGACAGTGTTATTCATAATTATATATGCTGCATTTATGAGAAAAAAAAAATATATTGTATTTCATTAGAAAAAACTCTATCATACATAATTTGAGGCATCCCCCAAAACATCAACAATTAAGTCGCTATGTATAGAACAATCCTAATATATATGCATCAGCTCTATAATACGTTTATTGGCATCGGAGACCACTCTGCATCCAGTTTAACCATCAGTATGCGTATGACTCATAGGATAAATGAAAAGAGTAGGAAGAAAACATTTTTTCCCGGGAAACGTACGACTTGAAGCAAAGGCACAGACAACACGTGTGAGAGCTGCGAAACATTTTTATTTACAGAATGCTCACCGGCTCCACTTGCTTCTAAACGATTTTGAGGTTTTCACAACATGACCCCTCTTAACTTTATCGGCCCTTTCAGTGGCTTATAATATATAACCGCTAAATTTAACAAGACACAGAGTTAAAAGAACGAAATAAACCTCAATTTTCTAGGATGGATGTTTTAAACGAAATGGTATCGCCGGCGTTCATTGAAACAATTACATAGGTTTTGCAAATTGTTTTATTTAAAGTTTCCAGAACAAATGTAAATATTCCATGTGAAGTTGTATTTATGGGCATAACATTTTGGTGTTTATTTTTTATCTGATATTCTTTTACTGATTCAGCATGTGAATTCATGAAAAGTAATAGGATGAAGAGCTGTGTTCTCAACTTTTGTCTGAAGCGGAACGGGCCGTCCTAAAACTTTCACAGACTATTAGGTCTTCCAAGATTCATCCCCTCAACATTGCCTTGAGACTTTAACTTATTCGCCAAAAGGAAGTTTTCTTTTTATTTTCATGATATTTTATTGTGATCAGTATAAATCACCCTTTTACAGGTTAACCTGATCTACACAGCGCTGCAAAATCCAAGGCCGCGTTTTGTCGTTGTTGGCATTCATAAATTAAGGGTAAGTAATATATTGTGGTGATATTTATCGGCCACTTAAGGTACTAATTTGAAATGCCTTTTATTGTGTTTCAGGATGAAGCATACTTAAGATTAACTTCTGATGGGCTCATAAAGGTTTGCAACACAATATATCCACTTAATACTTATGTCTCAAAATCATGGAGGCATGATGCTCAGGATACTGTGGCCTTTGTCTCAGGGTAAGAAAGTAAAACTTTACACGATTACGTCAACAGTACTCAAATTATATTCATAACAATTATTATACTGACTTCCGAACTTACATATTTCAAGCACAAATATAACAATTATATCTTTGGCTTAGTCATTTAAACTACAGATCACAAGAAATTAGATATTTGAGAGAATGTAAGACTCGCGGCGACTTAAGACAAAAATAAAGGTATAATTTTAGGTGTATTTTAGGGACAGGCGTCCACAGTGCCATTTCTGATGTCAGGTTTTAGCTTAGGAAGTTGAGTCTGCTTTTAAATAAAACTAGCTTTCTCTATATACGTTCAGTGTTTTCATTTACAAGCGATTTCTAGATTATTGACGTTAGACCAAAGTAGGAATGTCATCATAAGATTTTTTTTGTTTCTCTGCTTTGTTTTTGCGATTCAGATAACACCATGTTCTCAAATTTTCACACCACTATATTCACACCGATTTCAAGCATCTTGAGAGGTATATTATTTTGTGGGTTGAAGGTGGGATTTGATCATTTCCTACACACTGAAAAGTAATTTTTGAAACTACAGCGGCAGTACCTTCTCGCACTATATCCCGCAATAAAATGGCGTGCCAATCAGTGCAGCCACGCTACTGTTCTTACATCATAGAAAGAAAGAAGAATGCGACCGGAGAATTTTCTTAATTTACGGAATATATAACGATACATGTTAATGCGCTTATTTTACGAGGGTAATGTCTGTTTAGGTTTAGCGGAATTATTTGTACGGGAAATTGAAGAGAAAAATACATTCGTGCATATGTTTGCACCAGCTCAGTTTCTCCTAAGAATTTGTAATACACATTTGTCCTCTCAATATAGGGATGTTATATTATCATCCGCTTCGCAACACACAAAAAAATAAAACTCCATGTGGCAGCTCAATACACAATGCACGTTTTGCTTTACCGACTTCATTCATTGAATGTAAGATACAATGAGATACTTTCCAGGCCTTAGCCCCTTCTGCAGTTTTTATTCAAAACACGGAAGTGTGGCTTTGATATAGAAAAAAAGTGAGGAATAGAAACATAAGCATTCGTGTGTTGAGGTGTAGATTGAGGAACAGGTTAATCAATACCAGTCATAAAATTAACAAACGCAAAACACCTATGCGAACACGCTACTGCTGACACAAAGCGGTAAACAAAAATGCTACAAACGCAAACAAAATTTCATACTCTATAAATGCTTCACCATTTTTAAAAACGTATCTGCGTGGATGTCAAGATCAAGAACAGAAAGCTCGTTATGAAGGTGCTGGATCCTAGATATTGGCGAGGCATGATATGGTGCATTTGGGTAAAATTGTAACAGAGATCTAGTACGAAACGGTACATTAAAGTTCACAGTTGATAAGAGTGAAATACTATCAATTCAGCCACAGATGATTTTATGTAAAAAAGACCAAATCACGAATGGTACGCCGTTTGTGTAGCTCTCGTAAGTTAAGATATGTAAGTAGTGATTCGTAACTATATTAACAATGACGATTACAGTATCTATCGTATACAATTCGAACCAGACACTCCTGAGCTCTCACTTTCGTTGCAGTGATTCACAGAAAATGAGTTCCACATTACGGAACTGAATTTAACTCTTGGTCGAACCAAGGAACAAAACAAATAAACCATACATCTGTAACTTGAAAACTCCCGCGTCGTACGTGAAATCAACGCCAGCACACGTAGGGAAGTCCCCACCATTGAAGTGACATGTTCTTCCAATGAAAGACGGCTGTCAGCGATAACGCCAAGGTCACGCATGGTGGTCACACGCTGAATCATTTTCGCATTCGGTAGCGTATATGAAAAAGCAATCGGGTCATGCTTCCCGGACAAAGAAATAACTTCTGTTTTTTGTGTGTTAAGGAACACTAGATTAGATGATCACAACGCTGACACACGGTCAATATCCTGTTTTAGTAATGAACAATCGCCTAAGCCACGCACCGAGAAATAAAGCTTGATGTCGTCTGCAAACAGATAAGCTTAGCACTCTTGACAGCGGAAAAAATATCATTTATAAAAACTAAAAAAGAGAGGGCCAAAGTTTGAGCCCTTTGGAACGCTGACGCTGAGATGAAATGATCAGATAAAATATTCAAAATTCGAACCGCGTCTGTACGCGGACAAAGGTATGATTCGAACCAAGCAAGATACAAAGGACATAAACCATAAAACCGCAGTTTCCACAATACTAAAACATAATTTACCGTATCGAATGCCTTCGACATATCACAGTATACTGTATCAACTTGCCCTTGGTCAAAAGCGACCGGAGACGAGTAATTAACGAATGTGCAGAGGATAGTTTCAGCTGATCTCACCTGATGGAAACCATGCTGCGCAGGATGGATAATTTGGCGGAAATGAAAAGAAAGTCGCCGTTGCACAACTCTATAAAAACCTTCGAAAACCCACACAGTAGAGACACAGGCCTGTAGGTGTTCACGAGGCAAGCACCTCCCGCCTTGAATATCGGAACTATAATAGCTTCTTTTCATTGCTTCGGGAAAATACCAGACTGAAATGATAAATTGAATATGTGCCTTAATATAGAAGGCCAGAATGTTCCCGTTACACTTGATGAAAAAACACGGGACTGAGTCAGCACCAAAGGACCGTTTAGGTTTGAGGCCCCAAATCGCTCGCAAAGCTTCATCGAAAAAAGAAGGCTATCATGAGTGTCAATAGTTGAATCACCATGTTGTACCGAAGGTGAGTGCAAGGAACAAAATGAACTAACGTGACCTGCAAAAAAAATCTGCAACCTTCTGACTTGAGGAACGGTAAACGGGATTGTCATGCAAAGTAATTCCCCTATTTTTTCACGTACAGTAGATGCTGTTTTGTAAACTTCCAAAATGCTTCGGGACCAGACGTTATACTGCGTTCAACAAGTTCCAAATGAATCGCTTTGTCGCGAGCGTACAGCTTGTTTACCAAGGCACGCTAAAAAGTGAACTTATGAGGAATCAAGGGCCTTAAAATGTCGTGCGTTGTAAAAAGTAACGCTAGAAAACCCTCAGAACTAATGTAATATGTCCAGTGTTACAGCGTGTTTCGGTTCGGCATTCTAAGACAATATTTCGACTCGTCCTGCTTTGTTTAGTGAACGTTTTACTAGTAAAAACAATTTAGAGAAAGCGGAAGCCCAACACCAGCCAGTTACTACCTTGGGAGTGGGTATGAAGCGAACCAAACCAATCATTAAAAACAGTCACACCCTGCGTAGCTCCGCCGGTACAGTAGCCAGTATTATGCTTGAACGAAAATGCGGCACTTCTTCAGTTTATCCACCATTATTACACGATAACTCCGCGTATTTGTTATAGTACTCTGCTACAAATAAGCGTAATCACTATGTCGTTCAAAAGACCTCTCAATTTATTGGGAATTTCTTTAATGTACGCTCATATTCCTCAAAATGATCTGTATACACCCATGCAGAACGTTTAACTTGTTTTCTTCTAAGTGACGTTTTGGCTCGAAACTCGAATTGACAAAAATGCCAGGCAAATGTTCAGTGTTCAGGTAGTTGAACTTTTTTCTGACTATAAAATACTTTATTGTGTGAAAGAAATTATGTCAAAACTTAGTTGGTCACTTGCTGAGTAGCAGAAATGTACGCGACGTGTTCTGCTTAATAGAGTGACTGCTCGAGGTGCAGTGATGCATTCCTGTGACATCACAAACTATAAAAACGGGTGGAAATTCGAATGTTAGTTATGGCATCAACTTCATTTACCAGTTTGTTAAGAGCTTTTTTTTTTAAATTAAGCAAGATGAACTAATCGGCTGGGACGACTGAAGCCGGAATATTTAAATATCAGCGCCTTCTGAGTAAGTCGAATTATTGTTGCCGTACCCTTAAAATTGTATGCATCAGTGGCCTTCGGATATACGAGTGGGTTAGGGCAGAAATGCACGGCACACAATTTAATAAGAAATTTCACGGAAGCTATAGTATTTCGTAATTAACTCGTTTTTTTTTTCCGGGATTGATTCAAAAATGCGAAGTTTTTAAGAAAAATAGCGATATTTTTAAAACTAAAAATTGATTAAACGCATAGACTAACTTTTTTTTAATAATAAATATTTTATTGTCCCGTTTTCAACACAGTACATAGACCGGCCCGCAGAAGCATGGGTATGCTTGTCGGCGGGACCTGGCGTCCAACAGGTTGCTTACATAGTTATAACAAAGCACGCATTTTTTGCATGCAACTAAACAAACCCAAACAAAGAGAACTATACCCGACAACAGAACAAGCGAAAAACGTGGTCCATTTCAGTCACGTATCGCCTGGCAGCACCATTCGCTCACGTCTTGTTTTAGTCTTTTTAGGAAATCCAGGTTATGAAGCTCTTCTGGTAACTTATTAAAATTAAAAGGAACATATTATGACCTTGCATTCTTTCCATATTTAGTATAAATTCTAGGAAGAATGAACTTTTCTGTTCGCCTCAAAATTCGTTCCTTTGTTAAAGGAATTTTAAAATCACTCCTGAAGTAAAGTTTCACCAAAATTACATAACAGTGCAACCACTCAGTTGTTAACACTCCCGCTGCATTCAATTTCTTATTTTTCTCTTCTTCTTCGTACATTGTCCCATATGTGATATCACAAGCAATTTTATAGAGGATATTATCGATTTTTGATTTTTTTATAGTTGGAACACATTCCCTATAGCGAGATTCCATAACGTAGGATAGACTCACCCAGTGCGTTATATACCCTCCTTCTCAGAGAAACGTTCGAAACACTACGCAACCTGTACAAATAGGCTGATACGGTTCTCATTTTTTTGATGATATATTCTACATAATCATTCCATAAAAAATTTACATCCAGATGAATTCCTAAATTTTTGGTTGTTAGAACATAATCTAAAGGTAGGCAGCTACAGGTTTTGCAACTATCTGAATGAAAAAACAGTGGAGTTGACAAGTTAACATGTTTGTACGGACTATGAAAGCACATCAACTTAGTTTTACTAGAATTAACAAAAATATGATTGTTAGAAAACCATGTCATTAACAATTCGATATCTTTCTGAAAAGTTGAAAGTGCGCTTGTTTCATCGCTATGTTCTAGTACCAGGGCTGTATCATCTGCATATTGATACACTCGAGAGGCAAGAGATAGTGCTCCAATTTGATTTACGTAAATATTAAACAGTAAAGGTCCTATTGTTGATCCCTGTGGTACTCCCGATTTAATTCGGATTACATTACTTCTACCCTCTCTTATTTTAACCAGTTGATATCTATCTGTAATGTAATCCTGCAGAAATGTATAGAAAGGCCCCCTAAAACCCATATTTCTTAGGTTTAATAAAGGTTTTTCATGATCGATTGTTTCAAAAAGTTCTGTCAAATCGAAAAAAGGGGCTAAGGGGATTCTTGTCTAGACTGCAACTGACATAATCAGTAAAGTCTTGCAGCAAAAGTTCAGTGCTCTTATTCTTACGAAATCCGTTCTGGGATGAGCGTATTACATCATACTTTTTTACGATATGCACTTATTACATTGAATATCCATTTTTCCATAATCTGTGCAATAACTGGTAATATAGAAATAGGTCTGTAATTTGAAACGTCCTTTCTGTCGCCATTTTTGTATAACGGTCAAACTATAGCGTTTTTGAACTAAACCGGGACATGCCCCGTTAAAAAACTGTCGTTTATTAGTTTTAATAAACTAATGTTTATTAATACTAATGTGCCAGCATGTGTTTGTTTCAAATGGCAAGTTTCAAACCTTACCGCTATACGATTAAAAATACAATCAATTTTTGAGGTTTCAAAAAAAAAAAAAAGAATTGCGTCCAACGGCATTTTAAAGTTCATAGATGGCAATATACTGTACTAACAAAAGCTGGAGTCGCTTTTCTTGCAAATTTGCGAATCTCATGGATGTTTTCGTACACATAACCGAGTGTTTTTAAACCAAGGCATTGGTTACCAGCGGCCAGGTTTTAAATCTCTGCATTTGGTGCCAACGGCAATGTTTGGATTCTTGGCGTCTGGTATATTTGGGCAGAAACTGAGCGTTCGAGAACACCTAGGTTAGATTTGAGAGCGACCAAGACAGATTTTTCTGCTTTTCAAAAAACCTGGTGCAGAAAACGAGCGCTCACGTGTGCAAATATTGATGCACAAAATAGATTACCTTAGCACGTCTAGCTAACTAGCAAAGAGCCCTAATTTTGAAGAGACACGTGTGATTATCATTTCAGAGCAGGCTGTATTTCTTGTTTCTAAAAATAAATATAACTAACCACCTCTCTCTCTCTCTCTCTTTTTTTTATTTTTCTCAGAATACGATTTAGTCGGGCGCACAGAAATGCAATAGGTACGTTAAGTATTGCCATATTTGTATTTAAAAATACGAAGGTTGTGTTTCTTGTTTAGCACACTCGCCCGCAAACTGAGATGTCCAGAAACGAAACCCTGGACCCGTAGCTCATATTGCCTTGAGGCGGTTTAGTCAACATTTGGTTGTTTCGTTCAAGTACGGTTCATCCTTCTGCTGATTGTTTTATTATATATATATATTTAAAGGTATATGTATATATATATTTAAATATATATATATATACATATAGATACAGGGTGTTTTTACTTATTCTTTAAGATTTGTTGTAAGAAAGCCGTGAAAGTTACACTTATACGGGGATTTCGCAGGTGAGTTATGCGGCCAGGAGGACAGGTATAGGGGCAAATCGTAACAAGAAGTCGGCTAATTAATTAAAATTTAGTAATTAACTCTTTAATTAATGAAAATAAACACATGGTCTCAATTAGAAACTTCCTCAGCGTCATCGAAAATGACTAAATCCCCTCTTTTTCGAACAATATAGCGCCTGGCAGCATTTTACGGTGATCCGTAAAAACGCTTCATTTGGACGCGTTTGTAGATTTCGGTTTCTTATCGGAGCGCATCTTTGCGCCCGCGGTCCCGCTCCCCGGTGGTCGCTGCGCGAAGCCATCCCCTCGCCTCCCTCGTAGAATGGAAGGAGGTAGGACAGATGTGTGTTGCGCTTCTCAGCCACAGGGAAGTAGAACCGAGGCTGCGTAGTTGCGTTCCGATAAGAAATCGAAATCTAGAAACGCGTCCAAATGGTGCGTTTTTGACAGGACGCCGTAAAAAAGCTGCCCCCGGCGTTATATCCTTCTAAAAAGAGTTGATTTAATGGTTTGCGATGATGCTCAATAACTTTCTAATCGGAACAATAGGTTTATTTGCACGAATTAAAAAGCTAATTAACACATTGTGCTTCCGACGAGCGGCCGCGTGCGTGGCCGAGCGGTTACCGCGCTTCACGGTCGCGTGGAAAATCTAGGTTCGATTCCACTCGGTGGAATGTTCTTTTATTCATTCTTTCAACATTGCGTTCTCGCGAGTTCGAGAACATTCTCGACTGATCGAGTTCCGAATGTTCTTGTCGCCCAACATTCTAGGGCGGTTGTTCTAGAAGCCAACGTACGTACATAAGGAGCTCCCAGTAGCGATATGCAGTCAATCTCTTCCCAGCGTCCGAATCTGCTTTTACGCCGACTTCGACGCCCGCGACGCTTTGCTGTTATCTTTGGTTTCCTTTTTATTTTGGGAACAAGTTCGCCCATTAAACGTTTCAGTTTCTTTAGTGATTTCCTGTTTGTCACATCGCCATTCGTGACATTTTGGTGGAGGTGCTGGGTATCGTATTCTGTGCCTGTGGAGCGTACCCTTCCAAAAACATCCCAGCCAAGCGACGTGCTCAGCCCCGGAAGGCTACCTTTCGCCGAAGACACCGACGCCCGGAGAAGCCGTCGTAATAAAGGCCAGTCTCCTGAATTGGGTTTGCTGCCGGACAAGCCCAAGCCGAAGAAGACGACGATGGCCAACCAGCCAGGGACCCCCGCCGCTCCTGCCGTCGTCTACCTGCCCGTCGCTCCTCGGACACCGGCTCCCTTCCACAGCGAAAGCTACGAAGACATCCACGACTCGGTACGAACAATTTGCCCAACATAACGAATGGACACCGGTACAGTGTTTTCAGAATGCTTACTTCGCCTTGGAAGCAACCGCCCGGAGCAGGTTCGAGAACCACGAAGCATCGATCACCTTCTGGAAGCAACTCAATTCTGAGTTTCGAAGAACATTCCCGAACCTCGAAAAGAACGCGCGGTAGAGCTTCTTCAAGCGAGAATCCAAGGCTCTAACGAGAGCGTCGTTAGGTTCGTGGAAGAGGTCCTGCGACTTAGCAACCGCGCCGACCCTGAAGCCTCCGAAGCAAAGAAGCCGAGAATCCCAATGCGCGGCGTGATGGAAAGTATCTTCGGAGGCCTTGTTCGGAGCCCGCCTACCACCGTCGAAGGCTTCATCGCGGAGGCCACCAATATCGAACGTGTCCTACAAGCACGTGCCGCCCACTATCACCGAGTTCCCGGCGTCGCTGCCTTTTCGTCTTCCGTTGCCAACCACGGACATCCGCGAGATAATCCGGGACGTCGTCCGGGAGGAGTTCAAGAAGCTTCTACCTGCCGCCGCAAGCCCAGCTTCGACCTCTATCGCCAAGATTGTCAGGGAAGACGTCTATCAAGCGCTGCAGCAGGAGTTTCTCGTCATCACCACTCCGGAACCACCGACGCTGAGTTACGCCGCAGTTGCCCGACGGCCACCACCTTCACCTCGCACCTATGTCGCGCCACCCCGACGTCAGTCTCCTGCGCCGCAGCCCGACAGATGCCACGACGACCCCGCGCAGTACACCGGCCCGGAGCCTCGCGCACTCCGGAAGACCGACGTGTGGCGAACGCCCGACCGACGTCCTCTGTGCTTCCATTGAGGGGAAGCAGACCGCACCTACCGCCGATGCCCATATTGACGACTCAGGCTACGCGGGTTCAACCCGAACGACCCCCGCCCCCGTCATGGTGAACGCCCAAGCGAGATCGACGAGTACCTGCGACGATCCCAGTCTTCCGAGCCTGCGTCCCACCGAGAGTTCCAGTCGCCATCGCCGCGACGTCCAGCTTCGCCGATGCACGGACTCCGACGTGAAAACCTGTCGCCCCTCGCTCCTCGCCGGGGAAAATAGGCGCGGCAACCCCTGGAGGTGGAGTTGCCTAAGACGACAGACGTAAAGAGCCTCCAAGAACGACGGAGCGCTCCCACAGTCCCGACGCTGCGCATCACAACGACGCTCCTGCGTCGTTCTCCAACAACCTAAACGTTGTTATCGACGACATTGACGCATCGGCACTCGTGGACACCGGAGTTGACTACTCTGTCTTGAGTGGAAGGATCTCCCGCCGCCTTCGAAAAGTCATGACACTGTGGGATGGAGAAAAAATAAGGACAGCCGGAGGACCCCTCATTAAACCAGTCAGGATATGCACATCTCGCGTCGAGATCCACGTTGAGACGTGTCCTGTCAAGTTTGTCGTTCTTTGAGGCTGTTCGAGGGAAGTTATCCTCGGAATGGACTTTCTGTGCGAGTATGGCGCCGTCAGCGACGTCGGTGCAAAACAGTGGGCGCTGCGAAAGCCTGTTCTGCCGCCGGTGGAGACAAACACGACGTCATCCGGGATCCGAGTTATCGCCGACCTTGTGAGCCTGCCGCCGTGGTCGAGTGTTTACGTCACCGTCAAAACCGACGCAGCCATACACAGTGAAGCTCTTCTAGAAGGAAACATCCAACTGCTCATTGAAAAAGGAATTGGCGTCGCGCGAGGCCTAACGGATCTCCAAGAAGGACGTACAACTCTTCTCGAGAGAAATTTTGGAGAGGAGCCGCAGCACCTAACGAAGGGTACTATTATGGGCCACATCGAGGAGCTTTAGGTGCCAGCCGTGGTCACCGCAATCTCCGAGGAAGCCTCGTCGTCACAGCTGAAGAGTACGTCACCGCCGCCGCTCGACACCGATACCGAGCTCCCAGCTCATAAGCGCCGGCGACTGGTTGATCTCCTTGCCGAATACAGCGACTGTTTTGCCACATCATCAAAAGTTCGCCAAACACCCAATGGCGAAACATCACATTAGTACCGACGAATACGCGCTCCCTGTCCACCAGTAGCCGTTTTGAATCTTCTTAAAGGAAAGGAAGGTTTTTCAAGATCAAGTCGTAGGAAATACTCGACGACATCATTCAACACTCACGAAGTCCATGGGCGTCCCCAGTCGTCCTTGTAAAGAAGAGGGACGGAGCCCTACGGTTATGCGTGGACTATCGCCGACTGACCGCTGTGACGAAGAAGGACGTCTATCCGCTTCCCCCAATCGACGATACTTTAGACCGACTGCGCCACTCCCGAAATTTTTTGTTGATGGACCTGAAGAGTGGCACTGCAGATTGGGAAGTCGACGAACGCGACCTGGAGAAAATTGCCTTCGTCACCCCAACGGACTGCACCAATTCAAAGTGATGCCGTTCGGACTTCGTACATCACCAGCCACCTTCCAGCGTGTCATGGACACCGTACTGGCAGGTCTGAAATGACAGAGGTGCCTCGTCTACCTGGACAATGTCGGGGTACTTTCGCGGGGTTTCGACGAGCACCTGAGACGACATCGAGCCATGCTTCAAGCCATCAAGTCCCGCAGACTGTCACTCAATCCAGCAAAGTGTCGATTCGCCTATGGTGAACTTAAGTTGCTTGGCCACGCCGTGAACATCTAAACTGTTATCCCTGACTCCGAGAAGACTCGCGCCATAGCTGCATTTACGGCGCCGTCTGACAAGAAAGCCGTGAGAAGATTCCTCGGACTCTGTGCCTAGTACAGGCGATTTGTTCGAGATTTCACCAAGCTGTTTGCACCGCTGACAAACTTCACGAAGGACGCCGTGAATTTTGAATGAAAAGAAAAGCGCCAGCGGTAATTCGATGGGCTCAAACAAAGACTTCAGACGCCCCCATTCTTGGCCATTTCGACCAGTTCGCTGATACAGAGATCCACACGGACGCTAGTAACACCGGACTTGGCGCGGTACTGGTCCAAATGCAAGACGGTGCAGAGTGAGTCATCGCATATGCGAGTCGGACGCTGTCCAAGGCGGAGACGAACTACTCAACGACTGAAATGGAGTTCCTTGCTATCGTGAGGGCAATAACAAAGTTCCGCCCATATCGTAATGGCAGTCCTTTTTGCGCCGTCACGGACCACCACTCACTTTGCTGGCTCGCGAATCTGAAGGACCCCTCCGGACGCCTCGCCCGGTGGAGCCTACGACTGCAGGAATTCGACGTGACCGCGTGTACAAGTCCGGCCGGAAGTACAATGACGCCGACTGCCTGTCAAGGGCCCCAGTCGAGGCCGGTCCTGCCTGCATCAAAGACGAC